TGCAGCAGGAAACACCACAAACTGTGGATGCATGCATACATAATCAGTGTACCTCTTAAAGTCTACATCATTTTTCTGTGAAAATCTGAGAAACAATGGCTGACTTTCAGCATAAATTTCTCATGTAGTGAACTGAAGCCAATCTGACGTATTAACATCACTGTACGACGCGTGTACAGTGTGCATTGTTTGGTAATCTGTACACCCTCTTTCAGACAGTGCAACCGGGGAGCTGAAAATCAGCAACCACTCGCTGAGCTTTGCGGGAATCTACGTTTGCGAGGTGAACAATGCTGTTGGAGCCGAGCGCTGCAGGATCCACCTGAAAGCCAACAAGCGTAAGAGAAAACACCCTCGCACAGACTGCTGCCGTTCAGCACACGTCACACGAGGCGGTGTAAGACCTAGATTTTTGATTTCATCCTCTTAAGTCTCTTCTCTTTGTAGTCGTGCCACATCATCCTCATTGCTCCACTTTTCACATGCAGGATTCCAACCAGCGTTCAGCAACACGAGCGCTTCACTCTTATTGTGTCGGCTGCCGGTGACAGGAGAAGGTCGCCGGTAATGACAAGAAATAACTTCGATTTTGCTGCTGCTGAGTCACAATGAAGCTAAGACGACTGCTGTCTACACATCCTGTTGGCTTGCTTAGGTGTAAATGAGACGAGAAAAGGGCAAGGACTGAAAATAAGTAGATTAAATCAGCTTTGTTCGGTTCAATATAAATAGAAGTGCTTCGTTTGAGATGATATCCAGAAATTCCCCCCCAAACTGTACGGCACAGTAATACCTCGGAACAGCTCTGAGTAAGACAGAAAGCAGAGGTAGAGCCGAGCTGTCGCACAGGGAATGAATCTAGTGACTATGAGAGCACCAGTGGGGAGTAGAGTCTATGATTCAGCATGCCATTACAGAATAAATCATCACTTAGGTTTAGACTCAAACAAGGAAACTGCATTCTTTGGATCCATAAAATGAATTTGCCTCCGGGTGCCTCATAATCTTCGGAGCAGGCCTCGATCTCGCATCTTGTCGAGTCCATAACTCCTTGACTCGATGCTTATATTTTAGGCTTTAGGCGGTGAATAATTCATTTTCGTCTGAAGGCTGCTGTCCCAGACTAGAGGTTTCAACACCGACCAACTCCAACCTGAGCATTTGCAAGATAATTAACAAGATATCGAATAAGTTCGCCGCACAAACTTTTTTTTTTACTTTCCTTCGGAGTTGTATTTTTTTCCCTCTCGTGCTATATATCGGATATGAAATGAAACAGTATGAGGTGAGCGTATCAGTCTTTGTCTGAGCTTCTTTTAAAATATAACACAAAAATATTTTTTTTATTTGTAGGTTCACACAATTCTCACATCTCGGGCTTATGAAGCGACTACAGGCAATGGCTCGGCATTCATCCTCTTATCTAACTCTGAGCGAGAATGCAAATGAGCCTACAGTGCCCTCTGAAAGTGTATTACCAGTAGATTGAAATTTCCCCTTACTGTTAATATACTTTGTGAAAAATACAATGGCAGGGAGACCACTTGTGAAGATGCTTCTTTTTTCTTCTTCTTCTCTTTTTTCTTCACATATGTTAAACACAGAATGTTTAATTCTGAATCATAACACTGGCTTTAACAATTTAAGTGAAAAGTTGAATCTCTGGGAAAAAGGTAATGAGTTTTCAGAGTATCTCAGTATTTAGTCTGCCCCCTTTTTTTAGGTTTAAAGACAACAGCAATCGAGCTGCATTGATTTTACAAGTCCAGAGACCTTTTTTGTCATCTTGGGTATGTTTGGCAACGTAGTGACCCCGTAAATGTTCAATAAAACTGAGGTCAGGTGCCTGCTGAGTAAAGCCAACAAGAGCCAGCACAGTTCTTGCAAAGCTTTGAATTTGGGCTCACAGTCCTGCTGCAGAATACATTTGTCTTAACAAAGATGCAAACCAAACAAGCAAGCGTCTGAAGAACGCAGTGGAGTCAATTTGGTGCAGATATCCAACTCCGGAGCAATAAAGCAGCCTCAGACTTCAAAAATACGTCCACCATGTTTCACTATCTTTCTCTCTCCTTCTGGCTTTCTTACATCCAACTTTCTGTTTCTACACGTCTCAACCTCAGATTTGTCAGTGAAAAAGAATTCTCAGTTATCCGCTGTGAAATGTTGGGATGTTCCCAAACATTTGGCCTTTCCCCTTCCGAAGAACCGCTGCTCATATGCCAAGACCGCATCCAGACAGTCTTTTTTTTTCCTTTTTCCTTTTTTAAAACACACTATTACTGATTGTTCTTTATTTCGTAAACTCTGTATAAGTCATGAAGTCATGAACAAACTTGATGTATTGATCCCTTTCGGTCTACCTGATCGTGCTTTGGAAACAGCCGGTCCTTTTTAGAGAAACCATGCCCTGCCCTCTTAGAAATCTTCAGTCTAGCCATGATTTGATGCTGAGAAAGCTCCCCTTTGCTCAGAATAACAATTTGCCTTGGCACTTTCACTTAGTTGCGATGCCATGTTTCACAATGTCTCAATCCTTCTTATTGAGCAATGCGCTGCCTGAACTTGAGACACATTTACAACAGGTGAATACTGACTGTCAGTTTACTTGAACAAGCTTCTGATGAGCTGATCGTGTCATTTTACACAACCCGAGGAAACGATACTTTTTATACGAACGCCTGTATATAAAGTAGGGTCAACCTTCCATGAAGTTGCCCATAGGTGTCTTGAACAGTAGTTCTGACTCTCACTGTGGTGGTTTCACCCAATCTTAGATGTGCATGAAACATCCAAACTCCTGGCTAGTCCAAAAATTAGTACAGAGGTCTAACTAAGGCAGAACAGCCAAATTCAATTCAATTTAACTCTATTTGTATAGCGCGGTTTACAACCTATGCCATCTCACAGCGCTTAACATAGGAAGGTACAGACCTTACAAATTTAAATGTCTCCGGGCCGTTGATTGTAACAACCTGCAGTAAAGTGGCCACACACTTAATTATGCACAAGTTTAAGCCTGAATACAAATTAAATGGGTGAGTTAAACTAAATTTCATGCCCCCTAAAGTTGTGGTGAATGAGGAAATTAGCTATAAAGACCAAAACAGTTTTTTCTACCAGGATGTAGACATGTTTATTTTTGCCACAAGCCTCAAGTGGCCATTCAAGGAACTGCACTTCCTTGATAGTTTTTTTTTGTTTGTTTTTTTTTAGATGTGGAGAATGACATGATCAGGGCTGCAAATTTCCTGCTTTCTTTTTATGATTTTTCTTCCTTTTAAATGTCATAACGCGTCAGTATCCTCAACTTTTCTAAATATTTCCAGGTTTACATGTAAATATGACAGGTTTCAATGTGGTCTCAGACTTTTGGACCCCTCTGTATATGAACAAAAGTTTAAGTACCCTTGTAAAAACCATCTATATCTTGGTAGTCTTGAGTTTCCAAAGACTTCTATAACTGATTTTCTCTGACTGACTAAATGAAACCCATGTATCTTTTTCACAAACAAACAATCGTGCATTTTGGTTCTTTTATGTGTGTTTTACAGGTCTTATGACCAAATCTGCTGTGTCAAAAATATACATACAGCTATGCTACTTAGTTAAAGTTCCTTGGCCAATTTAAACCTCAACTACGTGCTTTTAGCAAGCTTCTGGCAAGTTCCTGGTCATATCTTTAACCACTCCTCTAGACAGAATTAATGTGGTTAAACTAACTTTGTTGGCTTTCTGGCACAGACTCACTTCTTCATCACAGTCCACAGGTTCTTGATGGGATATAAGTCAAGGTAGACCAGTCTGAACACCTAACTCTGGTCTGATTTAACCATTTCTTTACCACTTTTGTCGTGTGTTTTGGGTCATTGTCTTGTTGGAAATTTGATTATCACAACTTTTTCCATCACTAGAACTGATCGTTTAAGCTGCTGTATGTATACTTTTGACGGAGCAGATGGATCAATAACAAATCCACGAAAGAACCAAAATCTCTACTTTTGTCTCATTGTCATGTTTTGATCTTAGGTTCAAACATCTAACATGAAAATGACAGTTTTTTCTCGATTCTTAACATACTTTTGGAGAGTATACTCCAGAAATGTTAAGCTATTCCTTTAAAACCGCAAAACAAAGGTGTTCTGAGCATTTCATGATTGTGGAGATGTGATCCAACCAACCATCAGGAGTTGTGATGAGACATTGTGTCACTTTACACAAGCCAAGAACGTCAAGAACCAATCGACATAAGAGATTTACAGAGTTTCTACTCACTAATTCCTTGTTCCTTGTACTGGTTCTACAGCTCCGAACAGAGCTGGGGTGATCGTCGGCACCGTCGTGGGTTCTCTGCTTCTCATCGTCATTCTGCTGATCTTCATCGGGGTCCTTTACTGGAAGCTGAGCAACAGAAATCGCTATGAGAAGGAGGTCTCCAATGAGATCAGGTAGAGAACTGCACAGCACAGATACACCAGAGTTAAAGGGTGGATAACTAATGCTGTCTGACAACTTCCTCCTAGTCCACATTTATCACCAAAAAGTAGCGAATACAAAACTTCGGCCTCTGTTGGTGTTGAGTTTTGTCACCTGGAACAGAATTCTATGTACTTAAACGGGCTTCTTTTTACGTTCGCATAAATTAGCGATGATAAAACATTTCAGGCTTTACAGCAGAAACAACAGCAGAAATATTTAAAAAGACGACAAGCGAGGAAAAACAGACATTAAAAAACATGACACCAACAACCAGACTTTAAAAGACGGAGAGGCAATTATAAGATACGAAACAACACACATGAAAGCCATTCAGATAAGAATAGAAACAAAAAAAAAATCCCTGACTTGAATTAAAGCCAAACAAGAAGCACATAAATACAACAAAAATACAGACAGGAAAAATATGTTCTATTTAGGACTCTTGGAGATAACAGCCTCAGACTCCTCATTCTGGGCTCCTTCAAATGCTGCGGTTTAATTTCACTTCTCCGCGTTCATCTACACTCTTATTTCTGCATCTGCAACCGCGACGTCGTTTGAACAATTTGATGAAATCCGTTTGAAATGAAAGGTTTTATAGGGTTTCTTGGGGATGCAAATAAAGTATACTGTGAGTGCTGACGTTATAAAAAAAACATCCGTTCAGTTTGCATAAATTCTTTCTTTTTGTTGATCTTCTGTCTTTCTCGGAAACATGAAAAGAACCTTTTCCTGCCTTAGGCTGAAATCTTGGAACTAGATTATGAAGCGATATAAACATTCTTTTTTTTATGACATTACCTTCCTTTTTAATATTCTTTTTTTCAGCACGTCAAGTTGAGAAATGTATGGGACACAGTTGGATTTTTAAAGCAAACTTTTGAGAATCTCTGGTGGAGTGACAGATAAAGATACCATTGTCTTATCTGCTGCAGCCAGGAGATCATTAGCTTTGCGTGAAGACTGGAAACAAGGCGAGGGGCAGAAATAATTGCATTCTTGCAATAATGTTGTTATTGCCATTGCACAAACTTAACCAAAACATTCATGACATTTTAACTCCCCTTTCTTTTTTTGCACAGAACATAAGTCTGGAATTCCTCTGGAGCTCAAACCACAGAGAGAATATGACTGCCGATGGAGTTTGTGATCATTTTTGTAATAAGTTTGCATCATTGTCTGGCTCCAGAATCAAAAATTCAGAGTTATATTCGTAGCAGTAGCTCAACTCTTGGGTTTGAAAGTGAACCTTTGTTAGAAAAAAAAAGAAAAGAAAAAACACCCCTGGAAAGGTTCAAAATGAGTTCATATGTGACGTTTAAATCCCCAAACAGGAGACTCTGAACAGAAATGGTCTGTGATCACACATCCAGTTCAGAGGGCAAGAGACAAATCCAGCACAGTTACATAAATGTGTTGTGACAGTTTATATTTGATCTAGTGTACGTCTTTAAAAAAAAACCCAAAAAACCACAACATTAAAGTTGGTGCCTGTGGATGGACACCTTTTTTGAAGCACTAACCAAGTACTTAATCAAGGATGACCTTGAGTATCTATACCACAATTCTCACAGCAAAGTGCTGAAGATCAAATGTCACGGCCAGATACTACAATTTTATCTCTTTTTTTAGGGAAACATAATGTCACCAGGGCTCAAAAAGATCATTTGGTAAAACTGAGATGTTCATCATAACAAAGCGAGGCAGGTTTTTTTTTTAGCAGCTTTCAGGAGCAGAAGCTATTCAAAGTGCTTTATGTAAGGCAGCAAAATCCATTAGTGCAACATTTAAAAACACATTTAAGAGGAAAAAAGAATGAGCTATACAACAAAAATGGCAAAATTATGAGCAAAGAGTGTAGTTGCTGTAGCTGGCGACATCAAGAGATTAAAAAGATTAACGGCAGATGTCCAACAAAATGTACGTTGGGGTCGCAAACCGGTTTCAAGGCCTTGTGATTCCTCGACGACTATAAGTAGCCTCGTATGTAACACTGCTAACATTGAAGTTCCTGCTGAAGTAAGATGCAAATGGAGACGCTGAGGTGGCACAAGGAGTTCTGAGAGCTTTTGAGGTCAACAACATCTTGTGGTGTTGGAGCAGTTGCCTGTTATTGGTGAACTTATATTTGATCTCCTGAACTTCTAATCAAAATGTCAATCTCTGCAAGACTTTAGGAGCAAATGCCTGCAAAGACATTGGCAGCACTTTGTGTTTAGCTCCACCCAGCAAGTGTTGCTATCATGCAATCCAACTCGGGACTGTAGTTAACACGTTTGCACATTGTCACGCTAGGAACATGATGACATGAGTATTTAGGCCAGACGCTGCCGAGTTTAGCCTCACAGTGTAACACGGCTGCAAGGTTTCACAATTGTGTTAATTTCGATTCGACAGAAGACGCCAAAGTCTGTGTACGAATAAGATCATCACCTCACCCCGTTCTGTCTGTGTGCAGCATGGTAGATAAATGCAGCATGTTTGTTTGTGCCTGAAGGTACAGAGCTGGCTGCCTCCTATAGATCTAAAGGACCCGCTCGATTGTGACTCTTCAAAACATACAAAAATATGTACATCCCAAGGAAATTGTTGGCTTTTTTTGATATAGTAGGACACAAAAAACCTCTGATACTCTCTGATACAGCTAAAGGTGATACACTCTAACAGGAAACAACAAGGAAAACAAGCTTTTTGTTATATACCGAGCAAAAATATCAAGAGATGCAGCTTTTCTTCTGTGGTAAAGGTGACTAAACTCTTGGCATCAGATGCCAGTGTGGCCTCCCTTAGCAGAAATAGCTTCTTGTAGATGATTTGCACGGCTGTCCTCCAGTCTTTGACATCAACTTGTGCAAAATTCCTTCAGTTGCAAGATGTTTTTAGGGGTTTCTCGCCTGTATTGCCATTTTAAACCCATCCACAACATTCAAATGGGATTCGAATCTGGGATTTTTGCCTTGACGTAACCGCCCATTTCTTCCTTTCAAGCCATTCCTTGGTGGATTTGCTGCATGTTTAGGTTCATTATCCTGTTTAAAGGTTCATCTCCAGTTCAGCTTCAAGCCTCGGACAGATGGCCTCACTTTATCTAGCTGAGGTAATGCAGAAGTCATACTTAAATCAATGACTGCAAGCCTTACAGTCCCAGAGGCAGTAAAGCAACCACGTAGACTCTACGAGCAGCCCAAAAAAAAACACCCATCACAATGGTGAGCAGTTGGTGTGAGATTCTTCTCCTGTCGTGCATTGGATGGACGCACTTTGACACCAACATTTGCAAGTTACCTGTGACGAAATGTTCCCGAATACTTTTCGTTGCACCGAACATTCTGCTCTTGGGCTGAATTTACTGGGGCAGCCAGTCTTGGATAAATTGGCAGTCTCTTCCACTTGGAGATGACTTTCCTCACAGTCTTTTTTTTTTTTATTACACCACACGTTTGAGTGGCAAAGAGAACAGCAGATCCTAGATGTCAGCAGTTTAAATAAAACAGGTTCGACCTGTCACTCCCTAAGGAAGCACTGGTCATTAGTGCCAAATCTCCAGCCCCTGCTTTTTGTTTTATGGATTTGATTGTGGGTTGGATGTAGTTTTTCCCCATGTGACTGGTCAGTTAGATCATTTAATTATTTAAATTGTGAAAATTACTGCAAAATGTTCATTTTATGCATCATATGTTGGAGTTTATCAGCTTTCTCTGTAGACACTGTTTCAAAAAAAGGTTGAGTGTTTGCTTGTTAAAAAAATGAACTTTTTTTATTTTTTTTTAACATGACTGCATGTGGGATTTCTGCTCAGTTGTCCTGGTTCTCATTAGAACTCTGGCAGCAGAATGTGCTGCAGTGGTTTAATGATATTTTTTAAAAAAAAGATCTGACAAGAAAAACTCATCTTTTTTTTTTTTTTTTTTCAACACTGCACCTTCTTGGAGATGGGAACAAGAATGAGTCTGAAGCTTGTTTGGCATTTAAACATCTTATTCTTCCCAGTACTTTTAGATAATAAAGGGGCTGATTCAGTGAGTCAGTTTGTGTAACTGTTCAAGCTGAGAGTCTATTATAACACCCAGAAGTTGAATTTGGTCGTTTCTAATTTACTTGGCCTTGTTTTTTTCCAGTCTCGGAGTCAAGCTGATAATTAAATGCCATTAATAACACCAAGTGCAAATTACTTTTTTTTTTTTTTTTTTTTTGCCTGGAGAATATTTTCATTGTTTTCAAATGTTAACATGTGATTTCGGGGCAAAATTCCCAAATCTACACTTCAGAATCTGCACGTTTTTCTTTTGTAGAGCAGAGCTGAGCTGAGATTTCTCTCTCCTTTGCTGCCTTGAAACAGTTCAAGCTGCGTAACTCGTTGAAAAGGTCACCTGGGACAGCGAATGCAGTGCTGCTCCAGGGGCAATGCTCTGCAGCTGACCTCCCATTCTGGCATTTCTGTAAGGGATTACTTCTTTTTTTTTTTTTGCAAATAAAGTTTTTTTTTTCTCCCAAAACATGCTGGAGTTGTGGTTCACACACAGTTTAAAAAACAGCCCACATGCTTTCAAAGTAGACACAGTGTCAGTGTGGGAGGACAGCGTTGTGTGCAGGAGACACAGAAGCACTTCAAGCCACAATGCTGATACGGTCTTCTCTGTATATCTGTGACACGCAGAGGTCCAACTCTCTTCACATGAGAGTGGCGTCGTGGAGAGGGAAGCTCACAGGGGGAGAGAAAAGGCAAAGCTGTAATAATTTGGGCAACAATGGGTCCTGTCACATCCGTCGGCGTTCGAGGTAAACACTGTAGCTTGAAGAGCTCAAGCGAGTCGGGCGCAGCATCAAATCAGTTCAAACACTGACTCCAACCCTGTAGCTTTCAAATCCATTTATACAGATGCAACAATCCAGACTGGGTCGGACTTTGAGGTGCTGAGAAAAGTGGCGCCATGACGGGCTGAAACTGGAAAATTGACTTGAACTTGTAGGCAAAAGTTGATTATTTGCACATTTAGCAAATGCAAATTTAGAAAGCCATGCATTTGGAGGCACAGTTTTGTCCATCTGATAAATAAATCCAACATGCACTTGGCTCTGGTTTCACTTCAGATGCTTTGGCGTCTACCAGTTCATCAGTTAAACTCTAACTTTTTCCCTGTTTGATCAGGTCGGATAGCACACAGAAAGTTTTTTTCTTGTTTGCTTTCCCACTAAAAATGCTCTTGAAATAGCATCGATAAGAGCAAAGATTGAACCAACAAACAGGCTGCAGGAGCAAAACAATGAGCCAAAAAACACCATAAAGCTGAGAAACTGGTGATAATCACTGTATCTGCCACTATAATGTTGCAGTTAAACATTATGATCTGATCCACAAATGATGCAGCGGCTTTAATGTGCAAAACGACTTATAGCACCTTTTAAAAGTTGTAAAGTTGTCAAACTACAGGGATAATGGAACGATTTTAAATTTGTCCCTAAAGCAGAGAATGAAATGTATCAGATCTACTTAATTATTAATATGGTAATATTAAACTGCCTCTCGAATGAAAATGAATTAATAGCAAGAAAAAATAAAATTCTCCATAAAGCCGCAGCCATTAATGACTTGCAGCCAATTTAGTATGCATGTTAAGTGGTTTCAGAACAGCCTTTATGTGAAAAGATGAGACAAATAACCTCACCGGCAGAACAAAAACAACCGCGAAAAATACGCCTGGAAATGAGACACCTAATTGGTGTTTAATTTAATTTACTGTATTTGGTTTAGTGCAGAGCCGTTCTGTGGTAATGCACAGAAACACAAACACGCCCGAAAACCATAGCCTCAAAGACCCGAGGCGCGTTGTTTTCATTTCCAGCTAAACAAAAGCAAATTTATTCCCTTTACCAGCAAAAAATCTGAGTCTTTGGCCTCCACAGGAGCAGAAAATGCCAAAGTCGATCGCTTGTGCGGGTGTTTTTCTTTGACAGAGGAGCGGCTCCCAGCTGGTATTGCAGAGTTACATAAATACAGAATGCAAAGTAGCTCCTAAGCTCAGAAATTGGCAGCGGTGTTGACGAGGGGAAGATTGTGCTGCATGCTTCTTGTCAGTGTTTGCTGGTTGAAACCACCACCAGAGTGAATATTATGCTTTGGTAGGCAGAGAGAAAGTTAAAGCAGGGTCTCTGTGAAAGCGTGCGCCCCTGGGATGAGCCTCGGAACAGGCAAAAAAAACAACAAAGGGCTTCTGCTCTTACCCACAGGGCAGCGTTGTTTTGCTTAGTAAATACTGTACATCTACAGTGGGGAAGTATGGATGCAGAGGTATATATAAAACTAAAAAAAAAAAATACCTGGATGTCAGATAACTTTTGAGAAATACCTGCAGACGCACAATGAAAGTCAAGAAAAATAAATGTCAAACCTTTCCAAGGTTGAGCTTCTCAGATGTGCATATAGTTTTTATAGTAAAGGAAATGCCACTGAGTGCTGCCGAAGACTGTAAGTCTGACTTTGATTGTGAAAATAACTGTTCACAGCCTTATTAATAAGCAGGGATGTGCACATTATTGTCAGCGCATCTCCATCTCAAACACCCTTAACTGAGTTCTAATGTCATACTATGAAAGCTCCGTTCATAAACGCAGCTTCTGCAGTCGAAATACGTCAAAATAGTAGTAATTCTCTGCTTTATTTTTGCTTATTGAATGCTGTACAGCTATAGTGAGGAAGTATGGATGCATACATGAAAGTGCACGTTATTGTCAGCGCCCTAAGTGGATTCTAATTTCATACTTGGAAAGTTT